TTTCCCTTTCTTTCGACCAGGCAAATCGGGGTATTGAAACTCATCCAAGCGATGCTCTTTCTTTAGCTTCTACTTGATGCGCTTTACCCTAGATGGTGGCTGAGAATGTGTTCCAGTGCTGCAATGAGATGCTTCTTAAGGTTGTCATGAGCCTTTTGTGCTTCAACTTACGTGATAATGTGGACGGACTGATCATCGTAAAGGTCTTGAAGAATTGTTTTTTCACATTTCAGGTTGATGACCAATTTTGTCAACTGCTGAATTTCTGTATCTTTCTACTCCATGCAATTCTTGATGTCCATGTCCATATTAGATAGGCCCAATTGATCGAATAATTTGGCTTCAAGGACAACGATCACCCTTGCCCTCAACTCCTACGATTCTTCAAACTGTTTGTATTTTGCTTCCCATTGTCGTACGAGACCTCAAGCTTTTTTGGTTTTCTTTTATAAGTACATCCACAGTGTCCTGTTCACGTAGTTATGCTATGATGATATCTCTCTCAGCATTGGGGTTGTTAAAGCTGGTGTTGATGTCATCTTTAACATCATTTAGGTCCATTACATCGCCAGAAATTCCATTACTGTTGTCACTGCCTTGATTGTCTTTGTTTTCATCGTCATTGCTTTCATCATGTTTTGTTGGTGCACTCGACAAAACCTCATGTTTGGACTCCACATTCACTTTGGTATGATGGTACATCTTTGCTTCAGTTGGGAATACCATTAGCTCACCACAATATACTTAGAGTTGGAAACATTATATTAGTTACATAATTCCTCGTCTCACTATGTGAATGGGCACAACATTTTTTGTTGTACTTTTATCCCATTTAAACCAAGCTTCGCCAAAGATATGGACTTCATGTTGGTATGTAAGGTTATGAGGTCTCATTTCACACACCGTAGAATGGCATTAGGTTTGTGGGGTTGTAAGATAGTTGTGTGCTCACATAACCAGTACTGAAACAAATAACAAACATCAGTAATGTGAATGTTCACATCAATAAACACTGATGTGAATGTTTACACCATTGTCTACTAATTTGTGTTTATCTATTACTGAACAGTAATGTGAATGTTCACATCATTGATGTCAATTTCTACACCATTACCTAGTAATGTATGTTCCACATTTGTTTTGGTGCTAACATGAGCAAAACACTGGTATCAATGTTTACGTCAATACATATTGATGTGAACAACAACATAACATGATTGATTGAGAAATTAACAGTAATGTGAACATTCACATTATTATACACTGATATGAATGTTTACATCAGTGTCAACTAATGTGAGTTTATCCATTAATGAACAGTAATGTGAATGTTCACATCATTGATGTCAACTTCCACACCATTGCCTAGTAATATGTGTTTCACATTTGTTTTGGTACTAACATGAGCAAAACACTGGTGTCAATGTTTATATCAATATACATTGATGTGAATGTTCCTAAGATTCCACACTGTCGTGAACATTCACATCAGTGTATACTTATGCCAACCTTGCCACCAGTGCATACCAATGTGTATGTCACATTTGTTTTGTTAACAATATGAGTGGACAGACCTCGTGAATGTTCATATTAAATATAGAATAAGATTTATGAAATTTACCATTAACAACATAACACATCCGGTGGCTCGTCCTGATTTTCTCCAGTTTTGGCCCACTGACCCCATCAGGGTTGCCCAGATACTCTTAGCCCAATCATACTCGATCATGTTGTCTAATGGGTCCATATATGAATAGAATGCCCATCTAATTGTTTCTCCGGATGTGGAAAAGAATAGTTTGACGCATGCATACATGCAAACTAATCTTGCAACCTCTTCATTGTCTTGTTTCTTTGAACCCTTTAATGCTTCGTTCAGAATTTCACATATTTTTGCTACGCTTAACCGACTGACATCCTTGCACATTCGGTGTATGATGCCGGCCGTTGGTTTTGCACCATAAGAGATTTCCATTGGCTTGGTGTCCCAGTCTATCCCAAAAATAAGTGATACATCACTTCTAAAAAACTGAATGCTCTTGTTCCCGATGTAAAACCTCCCACTGGATGACTTGAATGTCTGCACTAGACGTACAATGACATTATCGTATTTCATTCAATGGTTGAGGTCGACTTCATTACTGATCAAACAATCAAATAAGGGCCAAAATGGTGTTTTCCTAAGGCATTTCAATTGACCATTTGTAAATTTTGTAGCCTTCAATAGTTTCACCAATCCAGTGATATTTGATGGGTAGTTGACCTTTTTCATGTTCATTTGTTCGGGACTAGTTGTTTAATCGAGTTTGCCTTTGCCACGGGATTCCTCTCTCTTTCTTTTGCCATCAAATTTATGGAGAAGACCTGTTTGTTCAAATACAAACCAATTTAATATTACTATTCACAAATGAATAGTGATAATATGTGTAAATTATTATATGCCATGTGAATAATGGGATGGTGATAGTGAAATAGTATGTGAATAGCTGATGCAAATGTTCACGTGAAGAGGTGATAACGTATGACAAACCAACATTCACATGAAGAGGTGAGAACAGTCACACATTACAATTATTAAACTAGCACGATGTATATACGATGTTAATCTTCACATCATTACACTTATATGTTTGACTGTGAATGTTCACAGCTAAATATATGGTGTAAATATTCAATGTGAATGTGACAATGTGAATATTAACATTATATTTACAATGTGAATATTAAAATCATGTTTAGAATGTTACAATGTGAATATTAACATTATGTTCAGAATATACATATTGACATTAATATTAATCAATAACAAGTGAAAGAATATGATGTTATTATTTACAATATTTCTACAAGAATTCACATGTAACCAAAATAGGGTTGGCAACCATCCATAGTTTGGACTGTAATTATTTCATGACCATCAACAACCAACAACACCAACAAGTCTGACATTGATGTCACAATTTGAATATTTACTCACTAATTGATCTAATGTGTGTTTATTCATTACTGAACAGTAATGTGAATGTTCACATCATTGATGTCAACTTCCACACCATTGCCTAGTAATGTGAATGTTCACATCATTGATGTTTACAAAATCAAATCCAAACACAACAATAGTAATACAACAATGTAAATATATACATCGGTGATTACATTATGTTATCATTGACTGAAAAACAGAGGGTGGAACCAACAACACCGAATAACACCAACAAGTCTGACATTGATATCACAATATGAATATTTACATCATATTCCATAACATTTTTGGGTGAAGATTGGGGGTTTTATGGACATCAACAATTAATAATACCAACATTGACAGTAATGTGAACATTCACATTATTATACACCGATCTCAATGTTTGCACCAATGTCTACTACTGCGAGTTTATCCATTAATGAACAATAATGTGAATGTTCACATCATTGATGTTTACAAAATCAAATCCAAAAACAACAATAGTAATACGACAATGTAAATATAGACATCGGTGATCACATTATGACTAGAAAATAGAAGATGGAATGATGTTGCTTACTTTTGTTCCTCATTGTGGGTGGGTATGAAAATCGATGGACCACACTCCGTTGACCGACGGGAAACACGAAACAACGAACCACCCTCCTTCTGATGTAAACCTTCGCAGTGGTGATATGAAGTAGACGACGACGGCGGTGGACAGTGGACGACGACGACGGTGGTGAGGTGATGTGAATCTAGGGTTACGGTTTAAGAGTTTTTTGGGGCTGACGATGAGATTTTCTTTGGGAAATCAGTGTTTTGTGGATTGAATAGATGGAATAGGAATGGTTTGTTTTCAGAATGGAGTAGACGCGAGAGAAGTGGAGGGAGGGTAATTTCGTCCTATTATAATGAATGGACCTAATGGAATAATCAAAAACGATTTGGGTTTTATGGAATAAAACTGTTAGGAATAGGATTTATGAAAAAAGAGTTCAAGAAAATAATGTGGATTAAATGGAACATAAGTAGGTAAAAATGAATTTATGAAAAAGTACCCCTTAACTTTACCCTTATTTAAGTTGATGAACAATAATTTCAAGTTTTGTCGATTTTTAAAGTCTCATTTTTTTTTCCCCAGATTTGAAAAGTCTCATTTAACTTGAAAATTTTTCTGCAAAAAGAAAATACTTTTTATTAAAATAGGAAGACTTTTTATGGAAATTAATAAATTCATTCGAATAATTAAAATGAATTGATTCTGTCATTAGAAATTTTTTATCGTGGATAAAAGCACATTTTTAAAAAATTAAAATATTTTACAAATTTGTTAAGCGCTTTTAATGTTCTGATTCTCTTTTTACTATTTGAATAATTAATTTTTTGAGACAAAGTTTTGTAGTTTTAAAGAAAAAAAAATTATTGAGTAAAATTGTAGTAATAAATAGCAATTAAGTTAATTAAATAGTCTTCCTAATTAATCTCTACAAATTAAAATGTGACATATGCTCTTATGAGAAAAAAAATATTATAATCTACATCTTTTGCGTTAATATTAACTCACAAGAGAACTTGAAAATATATAAGCTTGGATTAATTATGTTAAAATTGTTACCTAAAGGACTTTCAAACAATTATTCATATTTTTTAAAAAATTAAATGACATAAAGATACAAAATACCTTAGGTATGTTATGAATTGAAAATATTTGAATTTAAAAGCCTATTTTAGAAACATGTTAAAATAATAATAAAAATTAAAATATCCTAATAAAAAATTAATTATTCTGTCTATTTTTTAAAAAAAATTTACAAAAAATTAATTACGTTATCGAAATAATCCCAATTAAAAAGAGAATTTTTGGACTGTAATCCTTATTTTTCTTAGCCGCGCTATCCTAGGTGCGGATAGCAGAACTATGCGTACAAACACTGTCTTTCGGGGCAAAGTCGTCTATTAGGAAAGTCGGTTGATTAATCCACCGCCAGACGAGTCACCAAGGGTTACGATCAGATGTTCCAACCCCTCATCATGAATTGTAATAAGGCCGCGACGTACCAAATCACCAAAATGTGAACCCCAACATCGACGGAAGAAAGAAACTGCGACCTCGATGGCGCTGCTGCATCAACCAAACTGCGCAGTTAAAACCTCACTTCTAACACAGCCTCTACTGTCTCTCTCCGATTCGCAATCCCAACTCTTGAAGCAAATCACTTTCTTCGCTTCGCGGCTCTGAATTCACCGACCTCTTCTATGCAAATCAGCGCATGGTTTCTCTAGATCGATCATGGCGAATTTCTTGGCTCAGTTCCAGAGTATAAAGAATTCTTGTGATCACCTTGTAATTGCTGGTACTTTCTCGCATCTCTGTAGCCCTAATTTTGATTCCGATCTTCGTTTTTCATTCGAATTTGGGCATTGCATTACACTACACGGATCTTTTGAAACATTCATTGTCCCTTTCTATTGCTTGTGTTAGATTTGTGACCTTGAGTATCAGATTTGAACTGAAACGAAGATGAGAAGTTGATCAATGAATCTCTGTTAATTTTTAATCATATATGGAGTAATTGTAATTGATAAACATAGAATATTTGTTTTGATTGTGTTTGAAATGTTGATGTGAGTTGAGTTGTTTACACAATTGAAGTTGTGACGTTCTACTGATCTTCCTGTGCTCACATTGTAGCCACAATATTGGTTATTGCTTTTGATGAAACTACTGTTCTTTTTTCTATCAATAATGTAAGTACAACTAGTCTAGGGAGTATGGTTTGAAGTTTTAAATGTTGTATTATACCTCTGTTACTATGTAACTCCCACGAACGCACAAAAGGTTAAGTCTCATACTCTTTTGTTCGTTGTTGCATGTTCCAATCTTATATTTTCACCATGAAATATGAATTGCTTTCCAGTTGAAGATGTGAGCGACTTGTGGCCGATTGTCAAAAATGGATTTGAAGAGCGTTTGCCATTCAAAAGAGCTTGTTTAAATAACAAGACACGAAATCCTGTGTTTCTGGAGAAACTGCCCGCGGAGTTTATATTGACAACGGATGCAAGACTTCGTAGTAGGTTTCCTCAGGAGCAATCATTATTTTGGTTCCGAGAACCATATGCAACTGTTGTTCTTGTTACTTGTGAGGTAACTGGCTATCTTTTTACCCTTAAATTTCCATATTAATATAACTTCTCAAGGAGCTTTATGAGGCATTGTTATTTGATAGCGAACATTTAATTTAGTGTTTGTTTGAATTGAATACACCCCCGGCCCTTTTGAGTTTGAGGAATTGTATAGAACATCTTTGGAACGTAAGTCTTTCATTTTTGTGTAACGAAATCAATCCTTTGGAATGCACTTCTCGGTTTTGAGGTCATTGTGACCATAATATAGGGGTGGAAATTTATAACTTTGATTTAACATGCATGTTTTTCAATTTTGTCTAGAAGCACACAGTAAATTGCAAATGTCTTAAGAAAAATCAAGGCAGACTAACCACACCTATGACCTAATGATATGGTCTAGAAATTCCTTTCCCTCATTTTTTTCCTCATATTGATAGGTTGTGTGTTTTTTGTTATTTTCTTGTTTTGCTTGATCATTTTTGTGTTATCCATGGTGTAGGACCTTGATGAGTTCAAGACCATCCTTAAACCACGGTTGAAATTAATTGTTCAAAATGATGAACGAGAGTGGTTTATTGTGTTCGTGTCTAAGGCTCCACCCCACAATGATCAGGCCACTAAGCTTGCAAAGAAAGTATATGCCAAACTTGAAGTAGACTTCAGCTCAAAGAAGAGGGAAAGGTAACCTTGAAGCTGCTGATAATGGGGGTGTTTGGTGCAGCTTTTTTAAGCCAATTTATGGCTTCTGGCTTTTAAAAAGTTATTTTGGACTGTTTGGTTAAACTTATTTCAAACAGCTTCTGATTCTAACAACTTATTTTAAGTCAAAAAAGCTGATTCTGAGAAGCTGCTCACCCCTTACTTCTGATTATCAGCTTCTGCTGTGGACATGTTAATTCACGGTTATACTCTTAGATTTTTTTATTTTTTATTTTTTTAAAAATAGAAAAAGACTCAAATGGACTATTAAATATTATTATTATTTTTTATGAAAAATGTAGACAAATAGTGAATAATAAAAAATAAAAATTAATTGAAAAAGCTACTTCACAGCTTATTTAACAAACACTACTCAGCAACTTAAATCTATAATCCAACAGCTATACCAAACAGATTAACCGCTTCTGATTAAAGTCATAATCTATAATCTGTTAAGCTATAATCTATAATCTGTTTTAACAGCTACACCAAACACCACCAATATGATTCGCTTTTTCAGATTTTTCATTGAGTTCTTTTGACATATATATCAGATCTTCTCATTTATTTATTTGGATAGTATAGAGTATGTATTATAGCATAACCAAATGTTGTCTTTCTTTTAGAAGAAGTAGCTGGTATTATGCTACAGATTAGTTAGTTTACTTTTTTTTTATATGGAATAAGAACATGTAATTATTGGCTAATAAGGGGACAGTAGGCTGTTGTAAAAGACAAACTGTTTTTAAAAGAATGATTTTCTTTGTTTCAATGATGCTGTTATAATCCATTGTCATCATTATTGCAGTGACTCTTTTCTTATTGTTCTTTTCATCCCTTTTACTGCATAATTAGCCCCCACATTATGCCTGGATTCTCTTCAAATTCATTTTTTGCCTCTTCAACATGCGTCCAATGACTTTTTAACTTAGAATTGAAGTTCAACACATAATGTCTTCAAGTCTTCTACAATTTCTACCTTGAAATGGTTACAAGCAATAAAACATCATATTGTGGCTAACATGGTTTGCTGAACTGGAATTAGTAAAAGATAAGCAAACTTCAGGGGAAATAAAGGAATATCAAGGTGCACTTTATATTTGAAGACTGTACAACGCAAGAGATTCATAGACGCTTATACTCCCTCTTGTAATGCTCCAAACAAATGCTTCACTCAGGTGCTGCAAACTTGATATATGTGGACCTGAAGCAAATTTCTGGGAAGACTTGGAGTCCAAAATCATGGAATGCATCAGGAACACGCTTGATAGGCGCATTCAGTTTTATGAGGATGAGATTCGCAAGCTCAGTGAACAACGTCTCATGCCAGTGTGGAACTTTTGCAATTTTTTCATTCTGAAGGTAGTTGCTACACAAACTGTCTGTCTTAATTAGGAATGAATATTTGCATCCTTATTTTTTCTCATATGAAAATTCATTTTTTTTTAAAATAAAAAATTATTGTTTTAGTACCTCATGGTTTGAATGTATGGGGAAGAAAGAGAAAACTTCGTGCATGATGCAAATGGGAGGCTCATGTCTAATCTTTTGTGTCCTTTCAGCCTTGTATTCACAGTTACTCGAAACATTCTTGTTTAGAAGTGTTCTCTTTCTAGAGTTTCTGTTTTAATAATGATTTTCCTCCATATACAGGAAAGCTTGGCTTTTATGTTTGAGATGGCTCATCTCCACGAAGATTCATTACGTGAATATGATGAACTAGAGCTCTGCTATTTGGAAACAGGTGCTAAATGCATAAGTTACCTAGTGCTTCACTTGTTGTGTCAACATATATGGTGCAAATTCTAACCATGAATTCCAATCTCAATGCCAATGGCAACTCGTTAAAAAGAAAAAATATAATATATATTGGCTAATGTGAATATGATGAAGTAGACGTCTGCTATATGGAAACAGTTGCTTAATGCATATGTAACTTAGTGCATCTCTTCTGCTCCCAGCATATATAGTGCAAATTCTAATTATGCTTTCAAATTTCTGAGGCAATGATATTGGCACCTCATTGAAAAGGCAAAAAAATAAGCTATTGACTACTTATAGTTTTGGTGTCCTCAGGCTTCTATTAGCTTTAGCCTGTCTATCTTTTATGTATATTATTTCTTTCTTATTTATATTTAAGTAAAGAAAAATTGAAAATCTTCATGATTGTATATGAAGACAGTGACATATTTTTGGCTAATACTTTTTTGATTTTGTTTTAGAAAGAAGGGTCCAAAGTTTATCTAAGTCAATCGTACCTAAAAGGTTAAGAGTTGGGTGCCTTGAGGAATGCCATTTTGAGTAATTATCATTATCTTGCTATTTCTGTTGGCTTATTTACTGATTTTTATTTTTTATTTTTTTTGTTTTTTGTAAGCTCAGTTAAGTTACGAGAAACTTGTTTTGAACTTGGGATAAGCCATGGTCACTGAAAATACTGTCTATCAAACTTATCATAGTCTTTGCTCTTCAGCTATTATTTCTTGATTTTGTTGGAGTTTGACAAACATTAGTTGTTCAAGGTTTTTGATTATTGTCCTCCAAAGCTTTTCCTTCCCTAAGAATGGGAGCCTTGGAAGAGCATTCTGTTTTCATATAATGATATCTTGCATTTGAGATATACTACATTGTAACAATTTATAGAATTATTCATTATTGTGATTATTTTTGCTATATTAACATTTAAAAAGTTGCAATGCTGATGTATTAGTATTAAGAAATTTTGGTGCAAGACAAGTTGCCAGCACTGCTTTTGATTGCATATTAAAAATTACTGTCTAGCAGAAAATGATCAACCCAAGTTAACCTTATTCCCAACATTCATGTTTCCCTGTATTCTGTCATACCACAAGGGCCAGATTTTCGAGTAACTTTGTAGGTTTTCAGATATTTTGTCATTGATTTTACCCATGCCCTTTGTGACAATGCCATTGGCTTGCAAATTGCTAGGCCATAAATTAGAACCATACAGCTCCTCACTTGTAGTCATGAGTCCTGATAGATGATCATCAAGATTAACTTTCTCATTTTGTAACCAAGATTCGCGAGCTTGTAGTGCATTTGTATTGCTTCTTTATGCTTTTGTATTTAGAATATCTAAATTAATTAGTACCACAAAGCAATTGTATAATCCTGCTGCTCCTCATGCATCATCTATCTAATTTCAGTTCCCCATGAAGCATTTTCTTTAGTTTCTTCATTGTTTAGAAGGTTGAAACAAGATAGCATACATATTATCCTGGTCAATCTTTGCCAACAATTTTGGCAGTTACTTCACATACATTTTAAATGAAAATTTGAAATTTTTTTACTACAATGAAGCCACATATATTTTATTCAGTTTTCTAACCACAAAAAAAAAAAAAAGTTCAATTGGATACAGGGATGTAGAGACACGACACATGATGCCAGTCCAGCATAGTTGGGAATTCAATTTCCCCGGTTCATGCTTATTATTTTAGTACACATCTTTTTTCAAGGCAGTATCATTAGAAATTGGTTTAAGACATACTATAGGATGGCAGTGAATCACAAAATGGCTCTGTGTAGTGAATTCCTTGTAGTTGAATAAGGCTTTGTTGAATGAGCATGCTCAGTTTTTGTCTATTTTGTCCCCCCCAAGAATTTTTCTTTATTCACTCTTTAAGACCGTATTATATAATTTTTCCATGTTAAAAATAGACCATGTTGGGGCCTTATTTTCATCTTCTTGATTGTTTCTCCTGCTAGCCAACTGCCAATTTCCTTAGGGTATGTAGATTGTTGTTTAGCACTCTGTCTCGAAGACTTGAAGTCCCTCAGTGGACTTACTATGCGAAATTTGAATCTCTATGTTCTTGTAAGTTATAAGTACTCATCAAACATCTTTCTCTAGCTATATTTGTATTGTGTTTTCTCAGTCATTGTTGTCTTCTCTTGATTCACAAAATTAATTCATTCTTTGTGTTTCATTAGTGATGACAATATTAAAAGTAGCTGTCAATTTATGTGTTTCATTAGTGTCGCCAATTTAAAAAATATCTGTCAATTTCTGTATGTGTTTACTTTTTTCATGTAATGCAGTTATGTCAGGGAAGCATCGGGACTTTGGAGGAATGGACCGTGGAGATGATCAAGCTGCAGTGCTAAACCCTGGGAACAAACCATTAACACAGATTACTCAAGATGATTCATTTAGAGAATTTGAATTCAGACAGTATCTTTTTGCCTGCCAAGCAAAGGTGTGCAAGACAAAGAAGTAGGATTAACTTAGGTTGGTTTTAGATAATAACAGGAGAAGTTATACATAATGGAAAATTATGTTTTTTATTTCATACCAGAAGTTATTGCATTATTTGTTTTCCTCAACCATGTTCAATTTATGGCATGTAAAATTTTTCGCAGCGTTGAGTCTTTCATTTATCAGTAACACTTATATTATTCTTCTTGCATATTGGAAATTGGGATGCACTGCTTGAACTTGCTTTAGTACGTGCTCAGTATATCATAGTTAACTTAATTCTACATTTATTTGTTAAACTTCATTTGTAATATCTATACTAATTGCCTCACTGGAGCCATACTTTCTTAAGTTTTCTACAGTGCTGGTTATATTTGTCAAAACTTTAAATATTTTGTCTCGCCACATTTCAAGGGTACTTGGTTTTCTGCAATTGTGTTTTAACTTTGTTGCAATTATACATCTCAATTTTGCAGCTATTATTCAAGTTGAATCGTCCCTTTGAGGTTGCATCAAGGGGCTATTCATTTATTATCGGCTTTTCAAAGGCATTGGCACTGCATGAGGTATTTGACATGTTGTTCAATGTTCACTCACAGTAATAATAGTACTTTTTTTAAGCTATTATCGAAATGTTATTTATTCTTATCCTTTTTACCTCTCTTTTCTTGGTGTTCTTTTCAGAGTATGTTACCCTTCTGTATGCGTGAAGTTTGGGTGATAACTGCTTGCTTGGCTTTAATCAATACAACTGCTTCTCATTATAGTGATGGACAAGTGGCACCTGATATAGAAAAAGAGTTTTATCGCCTTCAAGGTGATCTTTATTCACTATGCCGGATTAAGGTAAAGTTTACACGCATTGCAAGTGACTTCCAAACTCCATATACTTAGTGTGATATAGTGCAGTGTTTGCATACTATACTATGTAACTTGGTGAGTGGAAGTAATCAACATTTGTTATTTCAACCGAGAATGGAGTTTGAGGGAAAAAATAGTTGTCCAGGCATGTTTTTTACTGACATATAGATGCGATGATATGTTTCATTCTATTTTTATTTCTCAATGGTTTCCCTGTGACAATTAACAAGCATTTTTTTTTATTAAGAAAAAAAAGAAAAGAAAGAATAGCCATGCATTTGTTCACTTGTTTCTACAAATTTAATACCAAAATTATTGCTTATTGCAATGTAATTCCCCATGTTGCAGTTCATGAGGCTTGCCTATTTAATTGGTTATGGATCAGATATAGAAAGAAGTCCTGTCAACAGGTAGAAACACAACTTTTTAGCATACCAATCCTATTTGAAAGTAGTAGTCAGCGTTGCCAAAGAGTTCCTTTGATGTTGCGCTGTGGTCCTCCAACTTTTTCTCTAATATATTTTTCTTTTGTGCAGTGCTTCACTCAGCATGCTACCTTGGCCTAAGCCCGCAGTTTGGCCTTTAGTTCCACCTGATGCTTCATCTGAGGTGTTTGAGAAGGAAAAGGTGAGGTTTTTAATTTGGTATTATTGACATGTAACTAGGAAAAGGCTTGTAAATTTGAGCACTGATATAAATTAAATAAACCAACCTTGTACTGGTTATTTCGAGGATACTTCAATTGATACTCTGCTTCTTTTGTTATAAGTGATTCAACTGGTTTGCTGGTTGTTTAGAATGAGTCTTAACTGAAGTCAAATAAAGTTAATTACATTTTAGGATGAAAGAAAATTTTATTCACAACTCAAAAATCATTTGATGGCTCAGTATGATGGCCTCAGTGACATCCTAACAAAGCGGCCCATTTTAATTGGGCCAGAACTGAAAGCTACTCTGGAAAACATGATCTGGTTTTTTACTTTCTTTGTAAAAATTAGTTTTTTCAATAATGCCTCCTGTGCGCTGAGGAGCTTCATCATCAACATCTTTACTCTGGATTATTGGAAGAAATAACTGAACAACTGTGGGATAGTCAAATTTATTATTGTCGCAGTTCAATTACATACATTAGTCACCAATATGGATCTTAGATGATATCTAGAGCTGGAGGATTGTAAGGGCCAGGTTGTCAAAAAATAAAAAAAAAACCTTGTTCAAAAAAAAAACAATCAGTTTTTGGAAATTTGTACTACTTACCTGAGCAGTGCTTGTGTCCTTGCATTGAATTGTTATGGTAATGTGGCTCAAGTTGAGGGTTAGGATTAAATGTTTCACTAAAATAGACTATGTCTTTGTGGGCACTTTTTCTGAGACACAACATGCCCTTCCTCACCTCAGTTAACATGTCAATAATGCGGTTTAAGTAATCCTTCTCAAAATTATCGTAATTATAGTTGTTACTGATCCTAATTTCATTCTCATTGAAAAATGTTATTGTTTATGTATTCCTTAAATCCATGCAGATGATTCTTCAAACAACACCAAGGGTTAAGCACTTTGGTATTCAGAGGAAGCCATTACCTCTTGAACCATCTTTACTTCTGCGTGAAGCTAATCGCCGAAGGGCTTCTCTTTCTGCTGGGAATGTGTTTGAATTATTTGATGGTCGCTCAGGTTTTATTGATGGGTAATGGAAATTTAGTAATTGAATGCAATATATTGTTACATGCTATTCAAAGAAATGCATAATTTCTTGGAGGGGGAATACAATCTTGTTGGTTGGTTCCAGTGTTTTGGCTTAAAATGTACTGAACTGCTTTAATTTGCTTTGGAAGCAAGCATACTAGTTGCTGATAACAACCTTCCCCCCTCCTTTTTTTCCCCTCTAATTGTTGAAGAAGTGAACTCTAATATTTGTATCTTTGTGTATATGTAAATGTCTTTGTCTTCAGATCCTTTGAATTCTTTTGAGCCCTTACCCAGTTGTTACATGCTGGCAGCTTAGGTTCAGATGCATCTCCGAGGAAGCCCCCTTCAGCTAAAGTAAATACTGTTTCCATGTCAAGAACTAATTCTTCACCTGGAAACTTTGAAAGCTCCATCGATCGACCTATGAGACTTGCAGAGATATGTGTTGCTGCTGAGCATGCTCTGCAGAATACAATTTCTGATGCTAATCTTTGGAAGTCACTGTCATCTGTAGAGGAGTTTGAGGTACTTGTTAAAATACTGTATTTTACGTTTCTTCTTAGACATGATAAAAACTGTTTGGTTATGTAGTTTCTAGCTTTGCAAGATGTCTTATTAACAAATTATCATGCTTAATGCACACCACCACCATAATTTTATTTATTTATTTATTTTTAAATTTATTATTTTGACAACTTTGTGTTATAAGAGAGGTGTTAGAGAATCAATTTTGGTTTATGCCCGGCAGGTCAACAATGGAAACAATCTATCTTTTGAGGAGAGTAATAGAAAAGTATAAAAAAAAGAAAAGAGACATTTATATGGTGTTTATCGATCTTGAGAAAGCATATGATAGAGTGTCTCAGGATATAATATGGTGAGTGTTAGAGAAGAAAGGGGTGACAAAATGTTGCATTGATGTGATTAGGGACATCTATGAAGGGGTGGTGACCACTATTAGATCGCCTACAGGAGAGACAAATGAATTTCCTATCACTGTAGGATTACACCAAGGATCTACCTTAAGTTTTTATTTTTTTGCTTTAGTTATGAATGAGTTGACGAAAAATATTCTGGATGACGTGCCATGATGTATACTTTTGGCCGACGATATTGTGCTAGTGGATGAGACTAGAGAAGGAGTTAACACAAAGTTAGAGATTTGGAGAAAATATCTTGAATCTTTAGGATTTTGGATAAGTAGAACTAAGACAGAGTACATGGAGTGTAAATTTAGTAACAGCAACAATGAAAGCAGAGGAAAAGTGAAGATTGAGAACCAAGAACTACCTAAGAGTGAACATTTTTGTTATTTAGGGTCGATTATTACAACGGGGGAGATTGATGTGGATGTGGTCCATAGGATTAAGGCGGGATGGTGTAAGTGGAGAAGTGCGTCTGGGGTATTGTGCGATAAACGAATATCCAATAGACTAAAAGGTAAATTCTATAGAACCGCTATTAGACCAGCGATGTTGTATAGGATGGAGTGTTGGGCAACCAAGAAATAACATGTAGATAAGATGAGTGGGGCTGAGACGAGGATACTAAGGTAGATGTGTGGTAAGACTAGACAAGACATAATTAGGAATGAGTGTATTCGGGAATGGGTAAGAGTAGCACCGATAGAAAATAAGTTGAGAGAGAATCGATTGAGATGGTTTGACCATATTCAACGGAGACCAATAGAGGCAGTAGTGAAGAGATGCGATGCTGTAACGGTAGAGGGAAGTGTTAAGGGATGAGGTAAGCTTAGATTAACGTTGGTTAGCGTTGTAAATTGAGATATTGATCTACTTAATTTGACTAACGAAATGGCCTTTGATAGGACCGCGTGGAAAATAAGGATTCATGTAGCCGACCTCAGTTGATGGGACTTAAGGCTTAGTTTGGTTTGGTTTGATTTTTGTGTTTAACCATTTTGAAATCATACTATAATAGGTACTTGCGAATTTTTGGGATGATTATCAAAGTCCCATTAGTTAAATTTAGTTTCTTTTGGAAGTGAGATTCCATCAAAATACCTGGATTATTATCTACCACTAATTCTTGTTAAAGCATCTTGATCAATTTACTTTCCTATCAAATGTGAAGTTCCAAGAGCTTTGTTGGCTTTATTTTTATTTTTATTTTTGATTGTTAAATGCATTATTGGTTGATTGTTACAAGTATATTTACAGTTGAATTTTTTTATCTGTCTGCAATATGATGTGATCCTGAATTTTTGTTACTGTCAGCAAAAATATCTGGAGTTATCGAAGGGTGCTGCTGACAATTATCATCGTTCATGGTGGAAAAGGCATGGAGTTGTCCTTGACGGTGAAATTGCAGCTGTCTGCTATAAGCATGGGAATTTCGATCTTGCTGCAAAGTCATATGAGAAGGTTTGCGCTCTCTATGCTGGTGAAGGATGGCAAGATTTGTTGGCTGAAGTCCTTCCCAATTTAGCGGAGTGTCAGAAAATACTGAACGATCAAGCTGGCTATTTATCATCTTGTGTGAGATTGCTCTCACTAGATAAAGGTTTATTCTCAACGAAGGAACGCCAAGCTTTTCAGTCAGAAGTTGTTGATCTTGCACATAGTGAAATGAAGCACCCCGTGCCCTTAGATGTGTCGTCGTTGATAACATTCTCGGGCAATCATGGGCCGCCATTGGAGCTATGTGATGGGGATCCTGGCACTCTATCTGTAACTGTTTGGAGTGGCTTTCCTGATGACATAACTCTTGAATCACTTAGTCTCACCCTGATAGCTACATATAATGCTGATGAAGGTGTTAAGGTACTCTTTCTATGTAACACAATGTCATTCAATTTTACATCACCAGTATTTTGTAGTATGCATATGATAGCATTCCTAATGTTTGATAATCTATTCTGATTTTAGGCTATAAGGAGCTCTGCGGCTACCATACTAAAGCCTGGCAGAACCATCGTATTTTAGATTGCCACCTTTCCTGTATATAGTCTCCCTTTTAACATGACATGGATTGGTTTGTGACAACGGACCACTTTGTTGATTCATTTATTCATCTCACAATGCATTTCCATTGTTAGGTGTTCAAACCAAGGTCTCTGGTCGATCTTGCTGCATCTGTTTCATCTGCTTTGCTTATTAATGAACCTCAATGGGTTGGAATAATTGTTAAGCCAATTAACTACTCCCTTGAGGGTGCCGTCTTGCATATTGACACTGGTCCTGGTTTGAGGATTGAGGAGTCTTATGCCATTGAAATGGAGAGGTATGCTGACCTGTCACAAAATCCAGCCAACTCAGGGTCATCAGATGATGCTAGCGATGATGGTTCTGCAGTTACTGAAGAGTTTAAGCAGTTAACTCTTCAGGATGGAAAAATTGAGTTGCCAAAGTGGGCAAGCGATATAAATTCTGTCCTGTGGATTCCAGTGCGTGCTGTTAGTGAGAGTCTAGCTAGAGGAACTAATGCAGGTTAAAATAATGCTAAAGACTTCTTGTGGTTTGCATATACTTATAAAATTTCTGTTGTGTTAAGCGCTAAAATGAGCATGCTACATGTCATATATGCGCAGCGGTTCCCCCACGACAGAGTGTTGTGGATGGATTGAGGACCATAGCTCTGAAACTTGAGTTTGGAGTATCACATAATCAAACCTTTGAAAGGTACTGTTATTCTCTTCCTTCTTCTTTGAATTTTTCGTGCAGCTTTAGTCAAATTAGTTTTTGTTAGCCCAAATTTCATCCGAAATACTTGGAATTGATTTACAGGACCCTAGCCGTGCATTTCACTGACCCTTTCCATGTGAGTACACGTGTTGCAGACAAATGCAATGATGGTACTTTACTTCTGCAGGTATTGTGTCCTCTAGTTTCTTGCATAAATCGTTTGTAAACTGGCCATGATAGTGTTGACTGTATCAAGCTATTTTCAGGGGTGGGGGTGTCGGATTGTTTGAAGATTTCTTGCTTTGTATACAGCTTGTTGATTAAAAGTTGTAATTGGGCTGGGCTAGCTGAAATACTGGTATGGGTAGCTTGAACTGGGTCATTATGAACTATTGTTTCAATGCTAAATCTATTTGGCTGTACTAGGTAATTTGAATTAATGAACCAGTTAAGCTGGTTTAGAATGACTTTTTTTTTTTTGAAAGAGCAACAACAAAATTTTATTAAAAATAAAAAGAGAAAGAGGACAAGAAGTCCTCATACAAGGAAAGAAAGAAAAAGAGTGAAGCAAAAACAAAAAAGTCATAGCCCTAGGGAAGGCAAACATCGGCCCAATCCCTAGAGATCAAAAACAAGGGAACTCCTTCTAGAGCCCATGCAAAGGTTGAAGTTGCCATCCCAACATGTTGGATTTAATTTTCTGGTCTCTTTTTTTTGGGCCTCATAATTAGAATGGAGAGGTTACCCCTTGCAATTTATGGTTTAGTGGAGTTAAAAAAATTTCCTATATAATTTCAATTTAATCATGTTAAATCTTCAATATCCCTTTTTCTATCATATCATCTATAAAATCTTCATACTGTCATTCTTCTTCCAGGTGATACTACACTCTCAAGTGAAGGCCTCATTGACCATCTATGATGCTTGGTTGGATCTTCAAGATGGATTCGCTCACACTGGACTGGGTGCTGGGAGACCGGCTTCTGGTTTCTTTCCACTTGTTGTTTCCCAACATCTAGAGCAGGAATGCTGTTCAGTATATGCTTGGCAACTAAATTGCTGAAGGTATACCTATGTCATCCTTTTATTTTATGGTATTGATATTAGTCAGTGACTAGGTACAGATACCAGGAGTTATAACTTGACATGGATATGGGTTGTTGGATATCATAATTTTGCAAAATTTAGACATATGTTTTTCTGTGTGTGCGGGCATGCATGCAGTGTGCTCGTGCACACTTGCGTGATTTTAATTGGAGCAGTTGTTGCACAATGCATAAAGTTTTGTGCATATTTAGAAACTATAAAGATGGATGATTTATGAGTTGGGCCTACAAGCTTAGCCAAGCAAGCATCTTGCTTTCCAAGCTCTTGGGTTGAGCTCCCCAAAATCTTCGGCAGGCTTGCTCAAGCCTGGATCATAGCTTAAACAAGGCAATCGAGCTCTAGTAGTTCACTTGGAAAGGTTTTTTTTTTTTCCCAATCAAATAATAACTGAGGATGTTTAGATGATGTTTTGATGAAAATGAATGTGTGGACTCCAAAATCAGAAGCAATATATAGGACCTGCCATACTATAAAATTCAAGCATAAAAGCTGGGGTTTGACTAAACAATGTGCGTTAATACTTCCTCAAGGGCAGGATCTCTTTCCTCAGGCTGTATAGAAACCAATTAGTAATGTTATGCTAGTCATAAATTTAAATGCTTTCTTACGTTTTAAAGCAAGAAAACAAATACTTATCTGGGTTTTACAGATACAGCCAAGGAGTTGCATCCAGATAGTATTTTAAATATCAAATATGGAATTGCTGGAGATAGAACCCTTGGAGCACATACCCCTGTGGCCATGGAACTCAACGGGATTGAGGATGCCACACAGTATCTGATCTTCAAAAGTGCCCTTGTTTTACAGCGGCCTGTGCTGGACCCTTGTCTGGCAGTTGGTTTTCTTCCTCTTTCTTCAAGTGGCCTCAGAGTTGGGAAACTTGTTACCATGCAATGGAGAGTCGAAAGGTTAAAGGACTTTGAGGAGAATGTGGTTTCTGACAAAAATGTAAGTCACCAGAACCTTTTCATTTTCTCCCTATGTTTTTAAGTGCTTCAACTTGAAAGTCAGATTAGATTGGTGCATTTCTCCTCTTTTTCATAATCTTATCAAAATGGAACTGAAGTTTAACATATCAGAGTCTGTTCACCCCAAGCCAAGTTAGTGCCACGTGATGGCAAGGAAGTTGCCTTTGTCATTTCATTTCAGCATACAGGGTTGACATAATTCTCAAGTTTACATAATTCTCAAGTTCCCTCGTATGATTAGATATTGTTTGGATAAAAAGAAAACAATAGTACATCTGCATTCCACACAAACACAAATCAAAGGAAAAAAGAAACACGTGAGGATTCAAGAAGGCCTGTGGGATTAAGATAAAGACATCTGAGACAACTTGGTGTTTTGGTATTAACGTTACAAAGAAGTGCTTTTGGATTTTTTTATTTTTTTTACTTGATATCTTCAGAGAATGAATCAGAAATGAAGAGATTTCCAACTTTCTATTACATATCCTTTGCAAGTAGTATTTGATCCGTTTCTACGTGATCTGTGCGAGATGAAATTCTCATATACAGTTCTCAGAGTAATTTGATGTTACCCTTAGTAACAACGTTATTCTCAATCAAAATACTTAAATTGATTCAAAAACTATATGCGTTATATGTATGACTATGCACAGAAGGCTAAACCTTCAGAGGTGTAAATCTTAGGGCAAGCAATGTGTGAATCCTTACTTTTTGCTTATCACAAAAGTTTATGTTGTAATTCTATGTGCATTTTTCTGCTGCAAGGTATTACTCTGTACATCTTGGTGATTTTGTCAATTCTTCTTTTTTTTTTTAAATTTTTTTCTTATTTCTTATCCAACAGGATGAAATATTATACGAAGTTGATGCCAGTTCAGATAACTGGATGATTGCTGGGAGGAAAAGAGGGCATGTTCCACTCTCCACAAACCAAGGTACCTGAATCACTTCATGTAGTTCTTTGTATATGTATGTAACATATAAAATAATCATGGCTTGGACAATTTATGTTCTTGACTAGTTTTTTCTCTCAAGTTCAAGGGATCAACCCGGAACACTGTAATTTGTCCACTTGGTGTCCTGACAATATCTTGTGCTGTAAACAGGTTCAAGGATAGTTATCTCGATATTATGTGTGCCACTGGTAGCGGGATATGTTCGTCCCCCTCAACTAGGCCTTCCAAATGTTGAAGAGGCAAATATTAGTTGCAATCCTCCTGGACCTCATTTGGTCTGTGTGATGCCTCCAGCTCTCAGCTCCTCTTACTGCATACCCGCATCATAAACTTAGTTCAGTCATCTCTTGCTTTACAGGATTTGGTCTTCCATTCAATGAGAAATTATAAATCGGAGATAAAGTTGAGTTGCCCAGTTTTGAAATTTGTAAATCTGTGTTGGTTTTTAAATTTTTGGAATTATTTAATTTGGTTTGGCGGTTCCTTTCGAGTGTTCAAGCTTTGGCTGCTATTAGGCCTTGCCTCTTATGTACAGTGAGTGTACTTTGAACTTGTACAATTGTGTAGAGGTTAAAAACTATGTTCAATTTTCGTCTCTTTCCACGACACTTGTAGACACTGTTTTGAATACAATAAAATCAGAAAAAGAAAAAAAAGATTACTCTAATCTATGGGCCTAAACTTTTTGTTCAAAACAGTTGTGGCCTTTATAAAATTATTTAAGGATCGCTCAATAGGGACTATGAAGAAAATGTAATGTTATTTGTTTGATATTTTATTATTTCAGAAGGGTTACATACAAAGAGTAAAGGGTTTGCTACAATGGAAGCCCACCCACCACAAACAATTGGCTCCTCCATTAAAGTTAGCTTTATCATCAGCCTTTTTATGCCTCATTTCTTTCTTTGACTGAGTTATCATTACTTTTGCATTTTTTATTTTCATGGAAAGGAAAAGCTAGGCTCCCAAAATTCTACAATGGGAATTACAGCAATGGAAAAAAGCAACTTAGAAAAGCTGATCTATAGTTTGGTCACAATCCAAACTTTCACCAAACTCTCTCTTTCAATACACCTTAAATTGGACATACTCAGAATTTACAATAACCCGCACAGGTAGCCCTAGTCCAGGTTGAATTCTATAGCTGGAATCAACTCTGTATACTTCGGGCTTAATTGATTCTTACAATTTGTTGGTGATTGTTGATATTTAGAAATTACTCCAGAGTTTAATGATATCATTTAGTGGTGAAATTATGTCCTAACGGTTGAATTAAACCAAATGATATGAGAAACTTTACTTTACCTTGCCATTTTCTAATTCATGTTTGCCTTCTTAAATCATTACTGTCCCAACTTTTTATGATCAACATCAATATTTTTTTTCTAGGACCAATTATTGAACCCTCACTCCTCTTGACACTATTTTTTATTGTTCACTCACAATAAAATGGGATTCACACCTTTTTTTTACCTCATTTTCTTTACTTACAATGAAAGTAAGACCTATATCATGTGATATTATGGGCCTTATTCCCACTATGAGTAAGTGAGAGAACATTACGTGTCTAGAGAAAAATATTTGAAGGAGATATTGGACTTTTTAGTTGTGCTATACTAGTTCACTCTCTTCCCTATACTCAACTTTGTAATTTTTTAAACTAGCAGCTCAAATAGACCTAGACTAACCTTTTATGCAAAGTTGAATCATACCAAAATTTGTACTCACCATTAGTCACCAACCACCAAATGGTTGGCAAAATCAACGTAATCTATGTGCTCCACCAAACCAATTGACTAACTAAACCATGTACATTGTTAGAATACCTAAGTTAAGTTGGATAACACACCCATCTTTTTTTTATTCATTTGACTACTAAACATCCATTTGTACTAATTCTATATATTATATGATCTTCATAGTTAACACAAAAAAATATATTTTATGTTATAAAAAATGGAAGTTAACACAAAAATAATCATGGTCAATATTAACGGATTTGGACAAGGCAAAGTAACGTGCTTTTTAAGTATAAAAATGATAAGAATTTTCAAATTTAAACACCATCTCACTACTAGATCATATTCTTACCATTGATTTTGCCAACGTCACTACAACTACAACCACAACGATGGATAGAGAAGTATCCAAACAAAATAAAATGTTTTTTTTTTTTTTTTATCAAATAAAATGTACAATAATTAGAAGACTTTTTTAGGACTAGTGGTGAAATTGAGATGATCTGATCATGCTTGTAGCATGTAGTTTCTGAAAACTACAACTAGAGAGGTGTGTGACTGTGACACCCACTTATTGTAATTGTGGTCAAGAATTCAAATTCCATCTACAAAACTCATTCACACCAACACTCCCTCTTTGCTCATTTCCCTATCAAAGGTCGCAGCACGACGGGGACTCCACAACTACTCCACCGTACTAAATCAATTCAAACCCAATACCAAAAAAGTCACAAATCCAAAACACCCACCAAAAAGTCACAAATTTTCATTTTATTACTTTCTTACTACTACATACATTCTCTTCTCATCATGAATTAATATTGTATAACTATGCTTTTTCTATTTTTTAAAACACAAACTTAAAAATTTTATCTTCCAAACAAGGGCACTGGTTCGGCTTCGTCTCCCCAGATTCTTCTCCACCTCAAAATACAAAATAAAAAATAAAATATTATTTTCACTTTTTTTTTAATTCAAAATCTCCAATCAAGCCTGACTTCGCCGGAGGAGCCCACCATGTGATGACTGGGTTTGCGAAACGATACGATGTGACTGCTGACCATGAAAGCCGCTACACGCTCAGACACCCTGATCTCCTCCATCTTCATCTCCCTCAATCTCATCACGTACTCCGGCACATGGACCAGGTCCCACACAACCCCAACTCCACCTGGCTTCAAAACCCTAACCACCTCCCCCACCACCCTCATCCTCTCCGCCGCCGCCGCTGCCGTCTTCTTCCCCATCTCCTTCCCCACCTTATGCACATACGCCGCCGACACCACCACGTCGAAGCAATTATCCCCAAACGGCAGCCTCCTTGCGTCACCTTCCCGGCAAGTGACGTACTCCTGAACCCCTTCGATTCTTGCTGTTCGGAGCGTCGACAAGGCGGTTTTCCTCATGTCGAGCCCGACGACCCGGCCCGAACTCCCTTCCTTTTTCAGCTGCATCGCGACCGCATTGAGGAGGATGCCGCGGCCGCATCCGACGTCGAGGGCGTGTTTGACGGTGGACCAGTCTGGGACGGCGGAGAGCATGCGCTGGGCCATGTCCCAGCGAAGGGAGACGGCTGAGTAGGTGATGTTGGCGGCGGCGAAGAAGAGGCAGACGGCGGAGAGGGCGGTGACGGAGCCGGTGAAGCCGGCGGCGAAGCGGGAGGCGGCGGTTGGGAGGGTGGGGAAGAGAGATTCGATGGAGGAGCAGATGGGGTTGAAGTAGTGGAGAAAGATTATGGAGAGAGATGAGAAGATTATGGCGTGGATTAGGAGGAAGATTGGGGTTTGCCAGTCGTCCATGCCGTAGATTGCGTAGATCTGTGTCCAATCTCTCCCACTTTTTCCCATTTGTTTTTTACTTCCAGAAATATGATCTTCAGTTAAAACCTGCAATTTCAAAGCAATTAAACCATTAATGTCGGAGTTGATTGTACAAGTAAGAACTTGAGTTCAATTGCAAGAATTAAGCGTGATTACGATTGTTGCAGATACTTACAGTAAATAGCAGAGAGGAACTTCCGAAACTCGATATGCAACCCTAATTCAGTTCAAAATCTGCAATTTCAGAACAATTCAACAGTGAGAAAGCAGTTCAGTCCATAAAACCATAAACCAGTTTCATTTTCTTCCGGTTTCTCAGCAAACAAACAAGAACAGTGAAAAAGAACCCACAAATGGAGAAGGTTTAAAAACAGAGTGAGGAGAGTGAAACTCTTTTACTTACAGCAGAGACGAAGAAATTTAGTTCTCTCTCAGATACGAAATATCAGATCCGTGAAATGCAGAGAATAATTTGGTGATCCCAACACGGAAAAAAGGCCAGAGACTCTGAAACCAAAACGTAGCAGAGAACAAAAAAGTAAGCAAGAACAGAGTATGACTAGAATGGGAAGTTCGTGTTAATGCTCATATACCACCCAGTGTTTTTTTTTCTGAAACAAAGACTGGTTATCAATCAAAGAGTCTGAAAAAGTGACGGAAACAGATAACAATCATTGACTGCAAAATGGCAGGGACGATGACGATGAGGATTTTTCTTGTTAGAGTGAGTTTAATGGGGGGGTTTATGGCAAGGTGTACGTAAAGCTCTGACAGAGACTCTGAAACCCAAAACGTAGCAGAGAACAAAAAAAGTAAGCAAGAACAGAGTATGACTAGAATGGGAAGTTCGTGTTAATGCTCATATACCACCCAGTGTTTTTTTTTTTTCTGAAACAAAGACTGGTTATCAATCAAAGAATCTGAAAAAGTAACGGAAACAGATAACAATCATTGACTGCAAAATGGCAGGGACGATGACGATGAGGATTTTTCTTGTTAGAGTGAGTTTAATGGGGGGGTTTATGGCAAGGTGTACGTAAAGCTCTGAAATTGGAATTCCAACAGACCGACCTTTTCCAATACTCTCTCTCTCTCTCTTACCAGTTTCATGAATTTATACAAAAATGGAGAGAGAAGGGATACATCCAAAAATTATTATTAAATTCTCATTATTTTTTCTATTAATTATGTGGTTAATATTTTATTTATAAATTTTTGAATTATATCATATAATATTACTAAATGATTACCTAGACTAGAGATATACAATTGTACTTTACAACCTTGTTGAATATAATTTATTGAGGTTATTTATAATTTTTTTTTTGATTTAGAATTTTGAGAAATTGATATTAGATTGTTTGGTGTAATTTTCATTTATAATTTATGATATAAAAAGAAATTTAAAAAGTATTAATTATTGAAAATTTGAAGAATGAATATTTAAAATTTTTATTTTTAATTGTTAATTTGAAATTTATAAGAAAATAGAGCAAATAAGATTTTATTTTTTTATATTTATACAGATAATGTGAGTGGACTCGGTACGGAAATATAAGAGAGAACAATTCCTATGTGCCATCAATCCCTGAAATAATAAAAATAATAATAATTTGGTCAATTCCCACCATTGACATGCTCAATTGCTAACTTAAAAAAATAAATAAAATTTGTAACTTAAAGTTGAATCTGATGACCGGTAGAAAACATAAAATTAAGAAATATTTCTTCAAATTTATTTGAAAGTGTCTATGGTGCTGTTTGGTGTAACTGTTAAAACAGATTATACATTATAGTTTAATAGATTATAGATTATGATTTTAATCAGAAGCTATTAATCTGTTTGGTATAACTGTTGGATTATAGATTTAAGTTGCTGAGTAGTGTTTGTTAAATAAGCTGTAAAGTAGCTTTTTCAATTAATTTTTAATTTTTATTATTCACTATTTGTCTACCTTTCTCATAAAAAAAAATATATATTTTATAGCCCATTTGGGTCTTTTTCTATTTTTTAAAAAAATAAAAATTAAAAAAATTTAAGAGTATAACCATAAATTAACATGTCCACAGCAGAAACTGATAATCAGAAGCAAGGGGTGAGCAGCTTCTCAGAATCAGTTTTTTTGACTTAAAATAAGTTGTTAGAATCAGAAGCTGTTTGAAATAAGTTTAACGAAACAGTCCAAAATAACTTTTTAAAAGCCAGAAGTCATAAGTTGACTCAAAAAAATTCTACCAAACACCCCCTATACATGATGGGGTTTAGACTTTAAAATATTTTATTACAAATAGACGAGTTGGAAGTAGTAAGAGATGAAAACCCTGTTTGGTAAGGTTTATTTCCAGCTTATTTCAGTTTTTAGCTTAGTTTAAGTTAAATAAAATTTGTAACTTAAAGTTGAATCTGATGACCGGTAGAAAACATAAAATTAAGAGATATTTCTTCAAATTTATTTGAAAGTGTCTATACATGATGGGGTTTAGACTTTAAAATATTTTATTACAAATAGACGAATTGGAAGTAGTAAGAGATGAAAATCCTGTTTGGTAAGGTTTATTTCTAATTTATTTTAGTTTTTAGCTTAGTTTAAGTTATTTTGATGTGTTTGGTTCAACTTAACAATACAGCTTATAACTTTTTGTAAGTCAAAAATCAACTTATTCTTTGAATGGGGGAGGAGAAGCTTAATTTATAAGTCAAAAATAGTTTATGTTCACAGCTATAAACTATAAGCTGTTAGGCTATAAGTTATAATCACTTTCTCACAGTTCTACCAAACGGGCCTGAAGTAGAGGAGGGATGAAAGAAAAAGTAAAAGTGGACAAAGTTTCCATGAAAAAAAAAAAAAAAAAAAAAAAAATAGGTGGTCTCACCTATGTTTCCTTATCTAAACAGAGTTAAATTCATAATTAGATTTATTTATTTATTTATTATCCCTCATAGGGAATTAAATGGGGATAATCAATTCCATCAACTGTAAGCAAGGTTTTAAATGAATTTAGATTAATTCTAATTTTCTATGCACCATTCTGTATCGTTTTAAATATTCAATTTTTGTTAATATAGACAAATCAAGAAAATGTGAAAGGACAAAAAAAGGAGATGTGGAAGGGAATTAAGTGATCTTGATTTATTTTAAGGAAAAAGATCCGGAACCCCTTTGGGGGTCACCTCCACGACCCCTTTTGCCTTTGATTGGTCAATTAATTTTTTTTTCTCTCTCTCTTCTCTCCCTATCACCAACCCCATGTGTGTGTGTGGAGGTGGTAGGGGCGAAGGGTTTGAGGGAGTCTCAATCATATTCCTTATTTTAAATATTAACCGTCATGTATGAAAATTTTAAATTTTTGACACCATTATTTGATGATATATAATTGTATTATGAGTCACAAGACAATATCACCATAGCTTACCTTAGTTTACTATGCTTCTTCCTTGGTTCTTAAATTTTTATGACCATTCACTTGAACATCAACTTGCACAAGCAACTTATAATTTCCAAAAAATTATGCTCCGCAAATAACGGGAATTTTGAATAAACATGTTAAGGTACGGTACGGACAACTAGTGGGTGTAATCAACGGTATAAAATAGATCATGCTTGTAGATTTATTATAATTAGAGTATAGAACACTTTTCTGCTTTTGTTATATCATGTGTAAAGTAATTAAGTGGTGTTTGTATTTTTTTAGTGATTTTTTATTTTTTTGATTAAAATATAAAGTAAAAAAATTTAAATATTTAAAAATAACTTTTTAACTTTATACGAAAAACATGTAAAAATAAAAAGAATAACTAAATTCTAAACTTTTTTATATGACTTTTAAATTTTTTAATAATCTTTTAATTATTTTATCAACTTTCCAAACAACCCTTAATATATGCCAATCACAATCACCATAGGCATCACCATCACTTGCCATTACATTCTGAGGATTCCATAAAATCATGCCATAATTTAAGTAGGCTTTTTTCATACTAGTTGACAATATTTAATTAGAGCCATAGCTGAGTGTGATTCGACTCACTTCTCCCCCTCCAATCCAATGCATCAAAAATAACTTTGATTATATTAATACCCTTCAAAATGATAATTTTGTCAATGGAGCCTCTTCAAATGCATTTATAAAAAATAAAAAAAAAAGACTTCTCGTTTCTTAGAATAATCTATTATAAAATTTAAATTTGGTTATTCTTCTTTGAACACCTCAATTAATTGTAGCTGTATTTCTATCAATCCTAACTATCATCTGCCACCTCCTTTCTCCTATGTGATGCCTAACGTTGTGTTTGGTTGTGAGATTTGAAAAGGAAAATGAAAAATAAAAAATGTAGGTAAAATGTGAATAACACATATCTACATTTTACATAGTTTCATACAACTTTTTCCTTTTCTTTTTCAAATTCCCTTACCAAATACAACGAAAATACCTCCTCTTTTTCCCTCCCTACTACCTGCTACCCCTTTCTCTTCCTTCCCCGTTGCCTTCGCTTCTTCCTTTTTTCTCAAATCCTAACCTTACCCCATCTCAACCACTACCTACACTAACAATAGAAAGAGTTATGAGAGAGAGAGAGAGTCGCCACCAAAAGGAGGAGGCTAAGAGCATCTCCAATGCATCTTCTATATCTTCAAATATAGAGGATTTGTTGCTCCAATCCATCTCTATTTGGAAGGAGGATGAGTTGATCCTCCAAATATGAAGGGAGGATGAAAAATAGAGGATGCCCTCCAAAATACTATTCATTCTATATTTTTTATTATATTACAAATAACTTTTAATATGTAAATTTAATTTTTATAAAATTGACATCATTAAAAAATGTGAAATCATACCTTTAAAATGAGTATAATATTAAATATATTTTACAAAAATTTTAAAATTAAATATTTGTTAATGAACAAAAATTACTTTTTGATGAAGGGAGGATAAATGATTTTGAAGGTTTGTGGTTGGAGTTTAAATGAATAGTAACATACTCTATATTTACTTTTTGAATAAAAAAAATTATTTTCATCCTCTTGATGAGAGGATTGGGTTGGAGATGCTCTAAGAAGGAGCTAGGGTGTGACAACTGAAGGTAAGGAGGGGCTAAGAGCATCTCTAACCCACCCTCTGTACCTTCATATTTGCAGGATTTGCTCCTCCAACCCATCCTCTAAATCTATCTCTATTTGGAATGAAGATGGATTGATCCTCCATATTTGGAGAAAGGATAAAAAATAGAGGATCTCCTCTAAAATACTATTCATTCTATATTTTTTATTATATTACAAATAACTTTTAATATGTAAATTTATTTTTTTTTTATAAAATTGGCATCATTAAAAAGGGTGAAATCATACCTTTAAAATGAATATAATATTAAATATATTTTACAAAAATTTCAAAATTAAATATTTGTTAATGAACAAAATTATTTACTTTTTGATGAAAGTATTTTTGAGAGAAATCTTTAGAGAAGAAAATGATAATTTATAACACTATTAGAGAAGAAAATATTTTTTTTGATGAAAAAAATGCCCAACAAGTAAAAAAATAAAAAGAAATAAAAAAAAATGTCATTGATTGGTTGACCGGTCGAACGTCTGGTCAGAAGAAAATGAAGGTTTGTGATTGGAGTTTAAATGAATAGTGACATACTCTATATTTATTTTTTGAATAAAATTTTTTTATTTTTATAAGAATTGGGTTGGAGATGCTCTAAGGGTGGTGGCAGCCA